CACCCTCGGGCCCGACGTCCCCGAAGGTGCCAGGCCGCATGGGCGATTGTGTCTGCCTCAAGCCTCTGGTCACGATACTCCCGGTCCCATATCACCGACAGTAGCCCCCGGCGTTATGCCAGGGCGATCGCCCTTCTCAAGGGAAGCGGTCGGGCGTGACGCCACTCCTAAGGCCTGGTGACAGGTGGGGCCGGTCTCTACAGTTGCCGTCGAACTACATCACCCAGTGGGCGGTGTGAGGCAGCTGCGATGGGCCCAAGCTGGCCTCGGGGGTTGAGACGGTCTCTGGAGCCGGGGTCCACTCTGCCACAAAATCGGCGAGGGCCTGGCTCTTGATAGCGTGGCGTGGTTCAAAGTGCAGATCGAACTCAGAAAGCTCGATTGCCCATTTTACCACTCGTCCTGTACCCTCTCGATTATGCAAGATTTGACCGAGGGGGTAAGACGTAATCACAGTGACCCGATGCGCCTGGAAATAATGGCGCAGTTTCCTCGAGGCCATCAGAATAGCGTAAAGCATCCTCTGGGCCTGAGGGTATCGGGTCTTGGCGTCCCGGAGGGCCTCACTAACAAAGTAGACAGGCCGCTGCACCTTTCGGCGGGGCCGATCCTCTTCGCCAGGGGCCGCATCCCCGGGGCGTTCTTCGTCCAAGTGGCCTCTCGGGGCGCACTCGTCTTCTGTGCCGATGACCTCGGGGTCGGAGGATGGCAGGAGCGGCCTTCCCACAGTGGCCTCGGGGCCGTCCTGGGGGTCGGGGGCTCCTGGCGTCGTCGGACAAGCGGGCAAAGGGCCAACTCCGGTCGTCAGGGGCCTTAGGCCACCGTTCGGCTCGGGGGCCTCTTCTCCCTGCTCTCTCCCGGACAGAATCCCAGCGGTCGCACATTACGCGCATCGGCAAGAGAAAACCAACCGAAAATAATGAGCGGCCGCTGGGCTCGTGTTTGCCTTCAACTCCGACGAGGAATGCGGTGACGATGGTACGGACGACCGCGACGGCTAGGCCGGCTACCCGGGCGCGTCAGAGTGAGCCCCCAGGCCCCCTTCTTGTATAGACTGATTTAATCTGCAATCAAAAGAGGAAATTTCTATGTCAAATCTATTTGTTGTGTGTATGAGACGAGGATGGTCTGTGCCGCGGTCCTTCTGTGTCTTAGCTTGAAGTAGGGCTCGTGCCCAGGTCCCAGCCTCAGATGGCGCGGGTCGAGGCTAGTGCCTGGGGAGATCCACATGTCGAGACTGGCCAGGCCGGGAGCGTGGTGACCGAGGGTTATGGGTGACCCGATTGTGGGTTTTTGCCGATTCCCCCCCGGAGTTCACCACGCCCCGGGGCACGGCTCGGTTCTGGGCCCCTTTTGGCGATTTTAGCCGACCCGAGCCCCCGAGAGTAGGATTGAGCACGGGTGACCTATTTCAAGTCAAGATTCTTCAAAAGGAAACAAAAGCATAGACACAGCCTTTAGGAAATCGAAAATGCTTTTATTGAAATACGGAAGAGAAAAAAAAAGAAAAGCCCCCGGCCAACCCTGCACGCCCGAGGGGGGTGCGGGGTTGGCCCGAGCCAAAACCTGACACTCGACCCCCCCCTCAGGGGTAGAAGCGACGAAGGTGTTCGATATTCCACGGGTTAGGCAGCTCCGTGCCGTCGCCCGTGGCCAGCCGAACGGAGCCCGGCCGGGGGACGCCGATCACTCGATACGGATCCTCCCACATTGGTGAGAGCTTGCTCAATCCAGCACGCGTTTGGACGCGGCGTAGGACGAGGTCGTCGACGTAGAGTGATCGGGCCCGGACGTGGCGCTGATGGTAGCGCCGCAGGCTCTGCTGGTAGCGCGCGGCTCGAAGGGCCGCGCGCCGCCTTCGCTCTTCCAAGTAGCCGAGGTCAGGGGGCGTCGGCTTCCTTCTTTTTGTCGCTCGCAGGCCTCCCCTTTCGGGTGGCCCGCGGAGCGCCCTCGACGGCGAGGACATGACCCTCGTCGTCGGTATGGGCTGACCTCTTCTTCCTCCTCCTGTCACGCCGCCCTGTCTGAGCGGCGGATCCGGGGGCGGCCGAAGCTGCCACTCCGGAACCGGAGGAGTTCCAGGTCCAGGCCTCCTCCTTGCGAGCCACTCGGTCCGCGAGCTGAAAAAGCTCTGCGGTAGTCTGGGGCTCTTTGGAGGCGATCTTTTCGAGCATGCGGTTGTGCCGCACACCCCCCCTGAACGCGTAGATCACCGCGTGTGCAGGGATGCATGGTATGGTATTGCGGACTTGGCAAAACCGCTGAATGTACGAGCGAAGTGACTCATCATCCCCTCGCTGTACCGCGTGCAAGTCCGCTTCTTCGCCTGGGCGCGGATAAGTGCCTTGAAAGTTCATAGTGAACTGTTGGCATAAATCCTCCCAAGAGTGGACCGACGCAGGTGGCAGGTTCACTAGCCAACCCCGCGCCTGTCCCTTCAGGGCCATGGGAAAGAAATTCGCCATGACCCTGTCATCACCCCCAGCGGCCTCAATCCCAGTCGTATAGACCTGGAGAAACTCGGTGGGGTTGACGCTCCCGTCATACTTCTCAGTGATGGTGGGCCGGAACCTTGGGGGCCAACGGACATTCCGAAGACTCGCCACAAAGGCTCTACAGCTGACACCACCAGCCGGGGGCACGGAGGGCTGGTCCTCACGTCCATGTCGAGGTGACACTCTGGACGAAGAGGCGCCCTCCGTTGCGCGGGGAGTACGCCGGCTATTACGCCGGCGCTCGATGTCGAGGCGAGCATCCGGCTCTCCATGCTGATCCTCCCGAGTCGGAGGTGCCGACGAGGGAGTGGCAGCCGAATGGCGTGCAACAGCCGCCGCTCGCCGCGCCCTCCGCCTTGACGACACGGAGCCGGTAGTGGCGGCGCCGGAGGTCTTGGTGGTGGCGGACCGTCCACCAGCACCCAGGCGCTGCTGTGCCGTCATGACCAAGTTGGCCACGTCGTCTAGCCATCGCTGGGCTGGAGACTCCGGGTCAGGGACGACGGGCGGGTGACGTAGGAGCGCGCCAACAGCCTGAAGCGCGCCCTGAGGCGTGCTGCCGTCGCCGTAGACGAGGAGGCGACGCTCCCCATCTCGCCGTTCTCCTGCATCACCCGCGACTGGCGATGCTGCGGATTTTTCGACCCTCTCGAGCGCCTCCCCCTGCTTAGGATTTTGGTGTGGAGGAGGTGGGGGAGTACGAGCTCGACGGCGTGGGTTTGGCTCCCCGTCGTCGCCGCTCACACTCGGAGAGAGGTCGTGCACCTTTGCTTGCTCGGCCATTAGGCTGAACAAGAAAAACTTGGCGCACACGGAGGAGTACGAGAGCTCAGAAAACACACGCTGAGCCCCCTACCTGGCGCGCCAGATGACGGAGCTCGTGGCTCCTCACCGGGAGACCGCGCAGGCCCCCCTTTGCCAGTTCGGCCGGGGGCTTAGGGTGAAATCTCAAGCTCTCTCGGTATGTGGAAAGATCGCGAGCTAGGAAGAAACGCGAGACACGGGCGATGTATACAGGTTCGGGCCGCTGAGAAGCGTAATACCCTACTCCTGTGTTTTGGTGGATCTGTGTATGAGGGAGCTACAAAGTGTGAGCCAACCTCTCACTTGTTCTAAGTTCCGAATCTGGAAAAGATCATCCCCCTTTCCCTATGGGCAAGGTCCTCCTTTTATACTTCAAGGGGATACCACATGCACCCCTCTCTTTCCAAACTGGACTTTTCTTCTCTTCATAAATGGACGGAGATTTGCACGGTTGTCCTCCGAACATCCTTCTGACGGGACGGCACACACCTACCTCCACTTCTGCCGAAGGCAGGCGCGTCGTGGGAACGTGGCTGTCTGCCGACGACATGACCAGTGTCAGACCGGTCATTCTTGTCCTCCACGCGTCAGTTCAACAATCTGCATGTTCGCCCTTCTTCATACAACATATAGGCTGTAATGGTTGGGATGGAGCCTGGTATAAATCTAACCAGGGCTAACGTGCCATCTCTAAGAGATTACACGCTAGCTCTGGCTTGAGACGAGTGCCTAGAGGCTTTCGTCTTGACGGGATGGGGCAAGGCGTGCGTCAGACCGCCAGTCGCCACCTAACCCGTGATCTGACCGGTCTGTGACCGGTCACAGACCGGATAAAGGAACGCGCTGCACTGCGCTGCATGCAGCGTGACACGCTTGACCAGACTTACAATAAATGCGGTTAGGTGAGCACTGCCGTGTTCACCTATCCCATATATGTGGCGCAAACTTCCTCGAGGGGTCGGGGTGCCTCGGCCCTCGGGGCCGGGGCAGGAGTAACCCGACCCCCCCTCGGGGGAAATCAGGAGGAGGGCGGACACCTCACCCTCGGGCCCGACGTCCCCGAAGGTGCCAGGCCGCATGGGCGATTGTGTCTGCCTCAAGCCTCTGGTCACGATACTCCCGGTCCCATATCACCGACACAAGCTAATGATTTTGGGGGCAACATTCGGGTCCCCACTGGCATCCTGACCGTGCTTATTAAGCATTTTTTCCCTGGCATTGTCAAGTTTAAAGGAAGAGATGAGCCAGCATGGAGTTGGAAACATTACAGGATTGCACCAGACGATCCAGAAAGCGCTGTACTGAATCGCTTGCCAAGCCGTCTCCATCGTGTTGAGGAAGATTTCTGGGTTTGTTTTAGAGCATTACCTTCTCCAATATGAAGTACACTATGCATTTTATTGTGTCTTCAGTTTTCATAGTTTACGGCCAATTTGTACTGTACAATAGTAAAGTATCTTAATACCACACTTTTCAATGTCAAGCAGGCTAACTTTTTGTAGTTGCAGCTTTACTTTAGGTGGGCAGAGGGAATGGAACAAGCTGCTAGAAAGGTTGTCCGCAATTGTATCAAGCGCCTTTTTTCGGACCTGATTTATGAAACTCGTATCATGGCCGTGCTCAATTACCAAAGGAAGATCTTAAAGGTAGAAACTTCTCGGGATATTGCTTGCAGGACATATCTAATAGAGGAAGAGTACCTACAGGTGCTATGGTTGTTCATTGATAATTTGTTGTCATCTACTGATCATATTAGTAATTAATAAATCTGTGCTTCTCCTATAGGTAGAACCATGGTGGTTCCTAAAGGCAAAAAATGCGTGGCGGGAGTTGATACGATTGAAGTGGTGTAATCCTGAATGGTAGGCTAGCTCACATGCTCATAGGATACGGAGGGAGAAAATGACATGGCCATCTCACCGCCAAGGCAGTGCTAACTTGAGTCGTTTCCAAAAAAATTTGGTATGTGCATCTATGTTGAAACATGTAGCAGATCATGCACAGCAGATCATGGTATAATATATATGGTACCCATGTTCTGTTTTAGGAGAAGAAGAAAAGGCAGGTAGTGTCTCAAATGGAGGCCTACACAGAAGGAAGGGGGGAATATGGAGAGGATGGACGATTCAGATGTAACACACATGTAACTGGGAAGCTTGTAATTGCTGAATATTTAGTGGTAGTTTATCATTTGTGCATGAGTACTAATACACTATTTGATCTGACTGTAGGAGGCCTATAATGAAGCTTATGTTCAGCTGCATGGAGCAGGAAGTGATTGGCGCAATTCTCCCATTGATCCAATGGCTGTGCACATGGCTGGTGGTGGAAAGAAACATGGTCGATTCATGATCGGTGATGGGCTCATTGACTCATCAGCAATCTTTGGTGACAGTTCACTTGATGATCCACGTCCTCGCAGAAGACTGCGAACAAATCTTGACAACACAAACCAAATTGAAGACCTTGAGCGGCAACTACAAGAGGAGCGCGAGGCAAGGGAACGAGAGCGTGAAGAAAGGGAGCGTGAGAAGGAGAGGGAGCGGCAGGAGCGGGAGCAGGAGAAAGAGCGTGAGTGTGAAGAGAGGGCACGGGAGAAGGAGCAGGATAGAAAGGAGAGGGAGCTGGAGCGCAAGGAAAGGGAGTTGGAAAAGATAGCGTTTGAACAGAAATCATCGTTCTTTGAAGTTGCTTTAAGAGTAAGTGGTTATGGGATCCATCTAGTAGTGTTTTCATTATTTGAGGGCTTGAATTCTGTGATGGTCGCACTAACTAGTGTACATGTGAAATGGATTGCAGGCTATACAACTTAAGCTGAACATTGACTTACCTTCAGCCTCAGGTCCTCCTCCCTTGCCTGTCATGTTGACTAACCCAGTAAGTATTTGATACATGGTAGTGTAGGTGTGCATGAAGTAATTGTTCCCCATATAACTTATGAGGACTAATATTAACCATTTTGTTTGTAACATAAAACAGGCTTTGTCCGTATCTTCGGCTCTGAATGGAAACTCATTTTGTGCTGACCATGGAGGGGCTGCTATTGTTTCTGGTGCAATTTTGATGGTTCAGCTTGACGCAGCGAGCGCAATCTGAAGATAATTATGACTTTGCTACTGCTGGAAAGAATGGACTAGTTCTACATGCCTGGAACATGTGGATGTGTTTTGTAATTAAACTGACCTAGATGGTCATGGCCATGAACCTGAGTAGCTGTTGGTTGTGGCTGTTGCCTTTAGTCTTTTGTTCTTAGTTATATACGTTTACTTTCCTAAGGGGTTGCATGAACCTGAGTCCATATTCGGACTCTAGTAGCTATTTCGGTGTGCATGTTGCCTTAGGTACTTTTGGTCATAGATGTTACTGTGCTCTGGAGTTTGTGAACTGGAAGTTTGGTACTTTTGGTTGGAAATGTTGGCATTCAGTGGAACTTATCAACTTGGAACTTATGTGGTGTGGCAGTGGCCACTGTCCAGATATAACTCACGCGTTCAGCAAAACTGATGACTGATATTATTTCATATTTTGGAGTGAATGTCTGGCAACTTATGGAAGGGTCGCACAAATTAGTAACAAACTAATTGTGTTTGTTCATTGTCAACCAAATTATCACTCAACGATGTTTATATATTATGAATGCTTTCAAATTAATGCCATATGAAAATTTTTTAAATAGGAGTCCCAATCTCAACAGCATGACAACAAGCTGATATCTTTTTTAGTTGAAAGTTAGAAATGTTCATTGTTTAAAAACATTTTAAGACATAAAGCTGAACATTTCCTAAGAAAAACAGGTTTGAATATTTGGATAGCTTTTAGAAAAATTAAAGATAAACGAAAGTTTTCTCTTGAAATGTACGCAAATAAATTCTGAGATAGACCTCTGAACAACACTTTTAATCAAAATTATAAATTTGAATAAATTTGATTAAATTAATTGAAGAAATAAATTCTTATTATATACAACAAACCAAAGTTTAATTCTTAACGAAGTTAAAAAGGAAATAGTTTTTGTTTAGCAAAGGCACTTAATGCAAGGATCAATCAAAATTTAGTTCAAAAGTTCTACAAATCATAACAGAATCAAAGGAATTGTTAACTAATTTTAATAACACGCACTCCCTCCGATTCATATTATATCTCGCTTTGACTATTTTGTAGTCAATTTTTTAGGTGTTGAATAAGTTTGTAGAAAAATTTAGCTACATCTACAAAAACAAATTTGTTTGATAATATGTTGGTTTTATGTAAAAAAATGTTGCTATGTTTTTTATAATCTTATTCAAAACTTAACTACTTTTTTTAATCACCTCATATTTTTCTCATTGTCACACGGGTCGTCCTGCGTGACGCGGTCCTTACGGTGCGCCGGGTGGTGAAGGCGAGGACGGGACGGGCGTCAGACAGGTGGACGAGGTGCCGCGGCGAGGGAGATGGGTTGCGCGGCGAGGGCAGAGCTTGCGTCCACGGCGTCCACGGCGAGGAACCGGATGGTGTTCACCGACTGCTCCACCGCCGCCGGCTGCTGCGCGTGGAGGGCAGTCGGCCGTCGGCGGCCGACGGCAAGGCATTTTTGACATGAAACAATGGCGACGTTCGCATTCCCGACTACGTCCGTTCCTCTTCTTCTTCCTTGGTTAAGGCCAAGTAGGCAGAGGACGAGCGGGCACGCGGCATCAATCTTTAGAATATGAGTGGAAGCGAAAATCATGGAATTTAGATGAAAGCATGTTCATTTTGCTAGTTTAAAAAAATTGACCAACAAAAAGTCAAGACGAGTAATATAAAACATAGTGAGTATTTTTTTTAGCTATTTCACATTGTATTGGGACCAAACGAAATTTAGTACAAAATTTCAGTTTGCAATCCACATGTAAATAGTTCAGTTCGAAATTTAGTTCAAAATTTTGGTTTATCAAAGGCAAATATATTTAGTTTAGAATTCCACACCAAATACAGATTTGTAGAGAAAAAAGGACGAACAGGGTAGTTTGCATTCCTAATCTTATCGTGTGTTTTGGTTAGAAAACAATACAGTAACGCTCGTGGTCCACATGTCAGAAATACATCGCGGCAAAATTCTCGCAAGCGCGCGGCAAGGTCGCCAAAAATCTGGTGGGTGTGGCTAGGTCACCAAAATCCCCAATCTCTCTATCCACCTCTCATCCCAATCAACCCACCACATCGCGCCGCCGTCCAAGGCCGCCGCCGCCGCGCCGCGTCCCATCCAAGGCCGCCGCCGCCGCGCCACGTCCCGTCAAGGCGAAACCGCCGTGCCGCAGCCAGTCCAGGCCGCCGCCACCGCGCACCCTATCCAAGCCCACGACGTCGCCCCGCGCCCATCCATTTGCTGTCGGTCGAGTACGAGACCCCAGCCCGCATGCGCACCACCGTGCCGGCGCCACCAGTCGCCACGCACGGCAGAGGATTGGCTGCTCTTCCAGCAACCCTCCCTAGGACTGATTCGTCTCAGGTGCTGTTGTCTTGCTCCCGGAATCCTCATTCGGCCTTCAAGTTTCATCATCTTTTTGATTAGTGACCAGTTCTAGAATTTACTAGTCAGGTTGCGGTTGTACTAAGGGATTGCAGAACTAGGTTGTTATGCCATGTGAAAGTTTGTGTGATTGATGATCTGAACTAATGTTTGATATTTTATTTCTCAGTCATACAAACTAAACTAGGCCTTTCTTATTCTTGAACCTTTCATGAATAGAAGGACATTTCCTAACATAAATTTATTCTGTCACTTTGTCATAACTAAGTACAATGGAAACTGATCGCAGTTGGATGTACAAGGGCCGTTGAAAGCGTGGCGAGGTTACCGCTGAGTGGATATCAAAGACTACATAATTTCTTGACAAGGCATTCAGCAGGGAGACAGGACGTGCTGGTGTGTTGTGTCCATGTAACTACTGCAACAACACACGTCCTCAAACAAGAGATATGATGATGAAACACCTTTGCAAATTTGGTTTCAGGCCAGCATATACTGTGTGGGTGTATCATGGTGAGACATATCCTGCACGTGAAAGCGATATATGCCAAAGCACTGAAGATGAAGATAGGGTGGCAGAGATTGATCGGATGGATGAGATGATAGATGATGTCCATGATGATTATGTCTCAGTTGAGGAGGAAGATCCAGAGCCTACAGCGCAAGCTTTTTTTCAAATGCTGTCTGCAGCAACTCAACCTCTCCACGAACACACACAGGTATCACAACTTGATGCTATCACACGACTACTAGCTGTCAAGTCTCAATATGCTATATCAATTGCTGGATTTGATGCACTTTTAAATGTGATATGTGCTCTCCTCCCACAAGGGCACAAACTACCAGCAAACTTGTATGAGGCAAAGAAAGTTCTTAGTGCATTGAACATGCCATATGAGAAGATAGATGCATGCCCTAAAAATTGCATGCTCTTTAGGAAAGAGAATACGCAGAAGACACACTGTGATAATTGTGGAGAGAGTAGGTATGTGGAGGTTGAAGACAGTAATGGTCACAAGAAACAATTAACTGTTGCCAAGAAGGTACTTCGTTATCTTCCATTCATCCCAAGAATTCAGCGGCTGTACATGTCTGAATCGCAGGCCAAGCAAATGACATGGCACAAGAATGGTCATCGGTACCATACTGACAAGATTGTACACCCAGCTGATGGTGAAGCCTGGAAGAAATTTGATAGGGACTTCACAGGCTTTTCAATGGAAGCCCGCAATGTTAGAATAGCAATAGCAACAGACGGGTTCTGTCCATTTGGTATGGGTTCTTCTTCGTACACTTGCTGGCCTATGTTTGTCATTCCTTTAAACCTTCCACCTGGTGTTTGCATGCGCCAGCACATCATGTTCCTTACCTTGATAATTCCTGGGCCAAATTATCCTAGCAAACACATTAGTGTATTCATGGAATCCTTAGTTGATGAACTTATACATGCTTGGCAGCAAGGTGTGTTGACATATGATCGTGCCACCAAGACGAATTTCATCATGCGAGTCTCATTTCTTTATTCTATCCATGACCTTCCAGCATATGGTATATTTTCCGGTTGGTGTGTGCATGGAAAGATGCCATGCCCAACATGTATGGAGGCACTCCAAGGAAAAAGGTTGAAGTTTGGTGGAAAGTACTCATTCTTTGATTGTCATCGCCAGTTCCTCCCAATTGATCATAGCTTTAGAAGTGATTCAAATTCTTTTCTATCAAACACTACAGTTAGCAATGAACCACCTCTTCGTCTCTCAGGTCAAGAGATCCGTGCCCGGTTAGATAACCTTGTCCCTGCTGCTAATGGAGATAAGTTTGTAGGCTATGGCAAGGATCACCATTGGACACATATATTTAGTTTGTAGAGACTCCCGTACTTTCACAAACTAGTACTTCCTCATAACATCGATGTCATGCACAATGAAAAGAATGTCGCTGAGGCAATTTTCAATACTTGCTTTGACATTCCAGACCAAACGAAGGACAATGTCAAGGCTCGCCTTGATCAAGCAGCACTTTGTAACAGACCTGAATTGAACCTCGTCCAAAAACATGCATCTAGTCAGTGGGTAAAGCCAAGAGCTGACTTTTGCTTGAATAGAGCTCAGAAGAAGGAAGTATTAGAATGGTTTCAAATATTGAAATTCCCTGATGGCTATGGATCGAACCTAAGGAGAGGAGTGAATTTGAAAACCATGCGGATCAATGGGTTAAAAAGCCATGATTACCACATAATGATGGAACGTATCTTTCCAGTCATGTTCCGTGGATACTTGCCAACTCATGTGTGGGAAGTGTTAGCAGAGGTAAGCTTCTTTT